GAGCTGGTTTTCGTGTGAGTTTTAATGTTGCTGTCCTGCTTTGGAGGTTGACTCGGGGAATTTGGGTGTGAAGATGGATGGCTACGTCCAAGGGCTCTCTGGTTCCCTTCCTTGGAGCTTTTCCTGCTCTGCACTGCTCTGTGGGCACTCTGCTGCAGAGTGGGGGCACAGGTTTTGATGGGGCTGTGGGTTCGGGGTGTCACAGTGGTGGGGACCCCTACATGCCTGGAAGCTGCCTCAGATGAGCCACCTCCTTGCTGAGTGCTCCTGGGACGTGGTGGTGCCAAGTGGGCACTGGAGGCTGTGCCCCTACTCTGTGCTGCTGACTTTGGGGGGTTCCCATGTGGCTTCTTGGGGGTCCCCACAGTGTCCTGGGATGGGGTGGGTGCCCGCTGTGCAGCCCCATGCCTGGGGGAGGTGGTTCGAGCAGGTGACCTCAGTGTCGGTGTCCTGCAATCAGAGAGAGCCCAGAAAGGAGAGAGACCTCACATCCAGCCCCACACCAGGTACAGAGATGGGAGAAAAAAAAGCACTACAAAAAGAGGCAATTCAGGGTACGAAGCCACTCAGTGCCTCACCTGCACGAAGGGACCCTCCGGGGCTGTGCTGGTTCCTGGCGGGGGCTGGGGGTGGTGGGGGTCCGGGGGTGGTGGCGGTGGCCGTGGGGTGCCCAGGTGACCGGGGGCAGTGGGCTCTGTGAGCGACTGACCAGCAGAGTGGGGTGAGTGCGGCCAGGGGCCGGAGGAGCTGCGCAGAGCTGCACCTCGTGCTGCACCGGCTGCTGGGAGGGTCTGGTCCTGGAGAGCTGTTTGTGGGCTGCGGGGAAGGACTGAGCTCAGTGGGGTCCCTCCCCATTGCAGACCGCAGCCCCACGGAGCCCAGAGCCTTCCTCCCTGTGCTGTTAGCACGGGACGCTCCTGCAGAGCTGAGCTCGGTGCAAACGGGGTTTCGGCCTTGCAGTGGACCCTATCCTCCCAAAAGTCTGCCATGACCTCTAGCGGCCACTAGAGCCACCCAACAAGAGCCATTCGCCCAAAGCACAGATTTCTCAGTGAAGCATCAGGATTACATCTCCTGCCCCTGCAAACACCCAAAAAGCACCAACACCCCCAAGAGCACCGACAAATGCCCCAAAAGCACCGATGAAACCCCAGAAAGAACCAACAAATGCCCCAAAAGGATCAACAAAGCCCCCAAAAGCAGACACAATGCACCCTTCTCCCCTTCCACCATCACAGCCAGAGCTGGGGGTGCAGGCACTCACAGAGCGAGGTGCAGCGGCACGGATCGTGCTTGTCCAAGTAGTGCTCCAGGGTGTCCCAGCCGCCCCCGACCCGCACCATGACGTGCTGCCTCAGGATCTGCACTCAAAGACACGCGACGTCAGCCCTGCTTCACCCCACGCCACTGAGGCACAGGGGTCTCAGATCCCACTGCTTGTTTTGTCACCCCAGGGAGAGTCAGGATGGCCTTAGGGAACCTCCCTTCCACTGATCCCATACTTCCATCGGGTAATGCTCAAAAATGACACGTTGGCCCCATTTGGCAGACGAATATAGGGAGGAGGCTTGATAGGAGCAAAGTAGGACTCCTGGTGCCTGCGCCCTGCATGCATGAGATGCAGCAGACTCACCCGAACGAAGATGAGGGTGTCGGAGTCACCCACACGGTATTTCCCTTCTGATACTTTGATCATGGGGAACTGGACAGGACAGGTACAGCGGCTCACCAGGTGCTGGACCTGCGGGCAGTAGGGATGGGTTTGCACCAAAGCTTGTGGGAAGGGGCCTGGGGTGGTGTGTGGGAACTGCTGAATCACAGCCTGAACCTCTGACTGATCACCTGAGGTGAGCAACGAGTCAGCCCTGGGAGCACAGGTGAAGGCAATTCAACTGTGCTGGTGGAAGGGGTGAAGCCTGGCTCCACCTCTCCTAGAGCCATTTAAGAGCTGGCTACCAGTGGAGAAGGATCTCTTCTGGAGATTCCTCCTTTGGAGTTTTGCAGTGAGCCCAGGACAAGGGTAAGCACTCCATCTATTCTCTTTTTGGTATAATAACCTGCCTAGCCAAACTCTCTTGTTTATTTCCTAATTACAACATCTGTATATTCATTCATTATACAGATGTCTATCCCCATCGTTCCTATCCCCATCATTCCTATCCCCATCATCACCATCGTTCCCATCCCCAAATTTCCATTACCATCTTCATCACTATACCCCCATCACAACATCCCTATCCTCATCATCCCCAGTGTCCCTGTCTCCCCAAGATACACACCTTGATCATCCCCATTCCCATCACCCTAACCCCCACCCCCACTCCATCAATCCCATCACCACCTCTCCATCATCTCCAACCCAATCCCCATTCCCACCCCCCCATACCATCTGGTCAAGGTTGTGGAGGTCCCGGGGTTTTCTGGGGGGACGGGGCAGGGGGTTGTCTGCAGGAGGCAGCTCCATCTCCTGGCGGAGCTCCTCCTCGATCTCCTCTTCCATCTGCACCAGGGTGGGGGCGCACATGCCAAAACGGGCAGCACGGCGTGCCAGCTCCAGCAGGCACAGCACAAAGTTCTTCTCGTTCTTCCTCAGCACCAGGTCCTCTGTCTCAAACATCAGGACGTCTGGGGCAGGGCAGCGGTGCAAAGAGGACGAGAGCACAGATGGAGAGGAGTTGAAACACATAGATGTGACACTGAGGGACGTGGTTAGTGGGCAGTATTGGTGGTAGGCAGGCAGCTGGACTGGGTGATCCTAGAGGTATTTTCCAACCTTAAAGACTTTGTGATTCTACAAAGGTCTTCCCAAAGGGACGTTATTTCCCAGAGTGCCATCTGTGCCCACCTTGCTGTGCCAGCCCATAGATTGTAGGAATATGGCAAGGCCCAAAAAACTGTTGGGTTAAATTCATAGAGGAAAAACCTCCCCCTTGAGCATCTACATACAAAGATGTGTCCATGCTTACTGTGATGTTTCATGGTGTCCCAGAGCCCCACCCCAATGGCTGAGTGAACTGAGGGCATTTTTTTCCATGCCTGTGGCACTGCTGTCAGTGGAGACAAGGGGACAGACCCTCTGCTCAGAGCCAGGAGGACTCCTGGTGTCCTTATGGCCATGATGGCCACGCATGGCACATGCTCTTTTCAGTCCCAACCCCAACTGTTGAGCCCAGGGAAGCTTGCTCAAGCCCAGCTTGGTGCAGAGATCCCAGTGGTGGGATGGCACCAGCTTTGGGGACACAGGAAATCACCGACAGTGATGCCAGGATGCACATCACATCACGGTGCTGCTGGAGCATTGGGTCTTACCGTTGATATCCATCTCCTTCCTGCACCAGTGGATGAAGTTAGAGATGTTGTCCCTGGCCTGGAAGGTGCCTGGTTGTGCTGCTGGATTGCAGCTGACACCGACAGTGGGCAGGTGGAGGTGCTGGGCTGCATTGGGACAGGTGTGGGCAAAGTCCTCAGCCACATGGGTGATGTGGTTGGCATGGGAGCAGAGCACAGCCCCCGTCTCCAGCACCTCCAGGAAGGTGCCCACCTCAATATCCAGCCCATAGAGCTCCTTCAGCCACTCGGCCAAGTCCTCCTTCATGGCATACAGGTACTGCTGGCTGGACCCATAGGGACGGATGCTCCGCACTGCAGCTCCAGGCGTCCCCATTGTGCCATAAGACCCCAAACTGGGAGGAGGCAAGGGGAAACGGGTGGTGGGAATGTGAGAAGAAGCCCCAGCCCACCTCCCCACCCCACTCACCGCATGCTCTGTGCCACTAGGAGGGTAACAGCGGGGTGCCGGAGCACTGCCAGGGTCCAGGGCTGTGGGGAAGCAGAAATTGCCCTCCTGGGCAGTGGGTGTTTTGTTTCCTTTCCAAGAGCTGTTCTCTTCTCCTTGGTGATAAGGGATCGGCTGCAAACACTCCCTGTTAACCCTTCAGCACCCACTCCTCCTCCAGGAGCACTGCTCCTCCTCTGTGCCCCATCGGGTGGGTCTGTCCCCCCCACGGTCCCCAGGGATAGAGGGCAGCCCCTCAGCACCCCGACTCACTCAGAACCCCAAAAGCAGAGGGGAGTTGCCCCCCTTCTCACCACCCTCACACCCACCTGTGCTGCAGGTGGTGACACAAAGGCCCACCAGGAAATCACCCCAAGCCTCGTTCTGTAAAAAGAAAAGAAAATAATCATGAGGAGGGGTACATTCACATGTGTTCCTTTGGGGTTTCGTGCTCTGGGAGCAAGAAGCCGAGCTCCTCCACGAGTGGCACAGCTCCAAGAGTTGGGGCTGTAGGGAAACAACGGCGGGTATGGCAGTGAGTGGGCACCACGGGAATCTGCTGCCCCTCATGGGCTTCAACAAAAGGAGGGTTTGCAAAAGGAAATCTGCCAGCACTGTGCTTGCAGCATGGGGTTAGAAGAGGCCCTGGGGAGTCCTTGCTGCCGGGGGCAGTGTCTTCTCCCTGCTGATGTTCCTCTGGATGAGCCTGGTGCCATTTTGGGGGAGGAAATGCAAGAATCCCAGCTATTTCCCTGGGCTGTGGAATGCGTGGCAGGCGCCTGGCATGTCCTACAAGCAGCCCAGGAGGAGAAAAGGAGCCTCGTGATGCTGAGGGGATGGTGATACAGATTGAGGTGCATGTCCAACCCCTCACCCCGCACCTTATGGGGTGCAGGAGCTGCAGCCAGACTGACATACAGCTCTGCAAACATTGCAACACCACCACCATCCCCACAGACAAAACGGCACCCAGCCACTGGGCAGCGTGTGTGGGATGCCTCAGCATGTCGTGGCATGAAGGAAAGCAAACAAGGGGAGCACACATCACTTGCTTTCTTCTGGGGGAGACTGATCCAGAAATCAGCCCCAACCCTCCTGCATGGACAAACCAAGCAATGCCCACTCCATCCCCATTTTCAGTACAGACCTTTTGAAAATCACGGGCTAGGGTATTTTTAAAAAATACAATAGCCTGACATGAAAACAGAGGGGAATGCCAGCACTGTGAATCTGGATGTTCACTTTATTCACCTTCAGGTCTCCAGGCTCCTGGAAAGATGCAAGTGATGTTGCATTATTACCATCTTATTCAAGATGAAACACTGCAGCCTCGTCTCTTTGGCAACACCAAAAAATTCCCCTGAGATGTTGAGCTGCGTGCGTGCCCCATGTCTGCACAGGAAGGGTTCATTCACAAATATCACAGACAACAAACCCAAAGGCTCCAAGATCTCAAATCAGAACAGGACTGAAGGGTGTACAGAACTCAATACTACTGCAGAGAGACAGAGAAGGGAACACTTGCCCTGCTCATGAAGGGAGCATAACCCTTATAATACAGCAGAGATTCCACCCTGCCCGTCCCCTGCTGCCCTCCAGCCCTTCTGTACTGTTTCACAGCTCCTCCTTTCCCCTGTTCCTTCACCTAAGATCTCTACTTCCTCCTCAAAACCACACTGTTTTGTTCAGAGCGCGCTCAGAGCTGGGCTTGTCCTGGGGTCTGTGTTCCATCAGCCCCAGGTATGGGGCAGCAAGGCCCCAGGTGCCACCTGAAAGACTGTAAACCCATGTTTATAGAGACATAAACCTACGGTTATGTCCAAAAATCTCTTCTTGTTTCAACCAAAAACAGTCTCAGTCGCTCATTTAAAACTACTGAAGCACCAGAGCACCCATCGGTAAGGCAGTTCTCTGCCTGATCATGAAAAAAACAAGAAAGGATTAACAAAAAACAGTCCTGGCTTGAAAAAAAATCCTTAAAGTTAACAGAAATGTTACATTTGCAGTCTCCGTGGCTTATCAGTGTTCTTATGGCTGAATCACAGCCCATCTGTGGGACCCTCCATCCCAGCCTCATCGCTGTTGTCCATGGTGTTGGGCCTGGGGACCAGCGGACCCCTTGGGTCAGTCAGTGGGATGGGCTCAGCCAACATGTTGTCCCAGCGATGCTTGGTGTTGGCTCAGAAGAGGATGTGCCCATCATTGGCATCCCAGCAGCCCATCCACGGCAGCTCGGCAGCCCACTTGCCATTGGCCACCACCTGCAGCTTGGCCTGGTTGAACCGCCAGTAGCGGTCATCCCGAAAGAAGTAGAGGAAGCCATCGCGGTGCACCACGGCCCCTGCTGTGCCAGGGGGTACGCCGTCCCAGTCTCGCAGGCTGCGGGGGTAGTAGGGCTCCAGGGCGAGGGTCTCCTCGCTCAGCACGAAGTATTTGGCTCCTTTGAAGAGCACCAGGCGCCGGAGCTGTTGGAAGTAGAGGGCTGTGTCGGGGTGGCGGGGCAGGCCGTGGGCACTGCACTTCTGGGGGAAGCCAGACACCAAGGTGGAGCCACGGTATTTCCAGCATCGACCACCTGGGATGGAGAAGAGAGGCTCAGTGACCACATAAGCCCGGATCATAGATGCACTGAGGTTGGAAAGGACCCCTAAGGTCATCAAGGCCAACTGCTAACCTGGCACGGACAAGTCTACCACTAAACCACACCCCCAGGCACCACATCTACAGATTCCTTAATTACCTCCAGGAATGGGGACTCAAACACATTCCTGGACTGTCTGTTCCAGTGCTGTACAACCCTCTCTGTGAATAAATTTTTCCTGACGCTGACCCTAAACCTTCCTTCGTGCAACTTGAGGCCATTATCTCCTGTATTATTGCTTGGTCCTCATAGCCTACGGATTCCAGCCATCCCAGAGATGACCTGGCCCTGGGCACATCCCTATTGGGCTTTCCCACAGGTTGGGAAAGGAAGAAGCAGCTCCAGAGCAGAGAGGCAAACTGGGCTCTCTTGGTGCCTATGCCACGCTTCCGCAAGAACAGATGGGGATGAAAGGTTTTGTACAGCAGGACAGATATCGCTCACATCCCTCCTGTGCTGGGACAACCCAGACTAGAACAGAAATTCACAGCAGCCTCAGATATCCCCGCTGCAGCTGGGGCCATCCCTGCAGGCACATGTAGATAGACAAAAGCTCCTTTCTACTCCTGGGTCTGGCCCTGCAGAGGGGCTTCTGGCTCTCCCCCAGCTGCAACAACAAAGTCCCTTTCTGGCAGACTTGTGAGTGGTTTCCATCACAAGTTCAGGCTGACCTCAGTGTCCTGCCTGCCTGGCCTGACCTTTCTCTGCCCTGACAGCTGTGCCACAGGCAGCTTACAGATGGCAGCAAGGCACCAGGGACAGGGCACAAACCATGAGAACGCAGTGCTCAGATCATCTTCTTGCAGTTACGCATTTTTGAAGAATATTTTCTCCTAAAAATGCGTCTGCTTTAGTTTTCAAATCCAGGGAATGCTGCTCTCTGGACTGGGCTAAAAGGGAAACTGAGGCATGGGGCAATGGGGGTTCATGCAAAGCTAATTTGTGACCGCAGCATCCTGGAGCCTGCACCCATGGGTAGATGTCACACGAAGGGACATGATCTAGAGTGGTCACAGCCATGGGTCGATGGTTGGACTGGATGATCATATTGGTCTTTCCAACCTTAACGATTTTGATTCTATGATTCATGGGACTCAGCGATGTCTCAGCCCCTTGGCACAGCATCAGGCTGACAGACCAATCAATACAACCTGCATCTCACTGACCTTTGAAGAAGTAGAAGCTGTGGCTGAATGGGGAGTAGGCACAGGCATCGATACCGGCAGGCAGCCCTGGCCAGCGCATGTGCAAGGGTTGAGGCTGGCTGGTGTTGCCGCTGGCTGATACCACCCAGAAGTGGCTGCCCTTGAAGATATACAGGTTGTGTTCTGTGTCTGCAGGGCAGAAGAGATGATGAGGGTGAGAAGCTTGGTGCCACATCACAAACCCAGCATTGTTCCACTGATCATCACCTCTTGTCCCTCCAACTCCCGTGAGACGTCCATATGGGGCTGAGGACATCCCAGCCCAGCCCAGCCCAGCCCAGCCCCTCTTTCCATCATTCTGGGAATCTTATTGAGTGAGGAGAGGCTGCTGGACAGGTTGGGAATGTTTGGGGAGAGGGCTTGTGGCCACATACCAGCAGTTATGGCATCGAAGAAGGAGCTGCAGTAGTAGGTGCTGAGGCTCCGCCGTTGATGTTCCTCACCATACAGGTCCCCACTCCAGTCCTGGAAGTGAGTGAAGACCCTTCCTGGCAGCTGGATGGCCAAGCCCCTGGAGGGCTTTCCTGAGACAGAGCAAGGTGAGAGTCATGGAATAGGGCACTGAAGCAGGAGCACAAGGCTGGCAAGCCATCAGAGGGCATCAAACAATTGGTGCACCCCAGTCTGGTTCCTATTGCCCTCAGTAACAGTGGCACAGACATACTCCCACCTCTGTTTCTCGCCCTCCACCCCAAAGACCATCTCAAGTAGCACCCAACAGATGCTCACCATACAAGTTCTGGATGGCCAAGATGTCATCCCAGTTGAGAACAAAGTCCTTGCCGAGCTTCTTGTAGTAGGGTGACATGAGGGCACTCTTGGTGGGCGAGTGCTCCAGCCCCAGTGTGTGCCCCACCTCGTGTGCAACGACCACAAAGAGGTTGCGGCCTTTGCCACTGTGCAGGGACCAGCGCTCGGCGCTGTCAAAGTGGGCTTCTCCACGTCGGGGGAAGAAGGCGTGGGCCAGGGCTCCCCCTGGGGACAAAACAGCTCTGGGTTGCTTCAATAGACTTCAATTTTAGGTCTTCGAGGGGCTTCCCAAAGGGAATTCCTTGAGAATTGGTCTCTACTACAAGAAAGACATTGATGCCAAAGATAGGCAGAAAGCTGGGAAGGCTCTGGAGCACAAATTGTATGGGGAGTGGCTGAGGCAATGGGAGGGTTCAGTCTGGAGAAGAGAAGGCTCAGAAGGGACCTTTCCACTCTTTCCAATGCTCTGAAAGGATCTTGAGGCAAGGTGGGAGTTGGCTTTGCTTCCAGGTAACAGTGATAGGATGAGAGGTGATGGACTCAAGTTGTGCCAGGGGACGTTCAGGTTGGGTGCTAGGAAACTTTTCTCCAAAGGAACTGCATTGCAATGGCACCGCTGCCCAGGGAGGTGGGGGAGTCACCATCCCTGGAGGTGTTCCAGAGCTGTGGAGATGTGGCATTGAGGGATGTGGGCTGTGGGCAGTGCTGGTGAGAGCGGGCTGGGGTTGGACGTGGGGATCTGAGAGGCCTTTTCTAACCTTAATGATTCTACGATTTCATGCACTATGTGAAACCCAAACCATGTCTGAAAGGGATGAGGCAAGAGCATGGTGTGAGGGCTCCTTGAAGGCCATCACCATGCTTCAACCATGATCAACTCAACCACCTCCCAGGTAACCTACAGCTGCGGGACTGGGAACTCAGGACCCCAAACCACCTTCACTCAAGCTGCTGGGTACTGGGAAGACACCACCTCCACCCCAACAATCCCCAGCCAGGAAGAGCCCCCATTGTAGAAGAGAAGCTTACGAGGAGGGAGCGACCAGCACCTGGCCCATCGAAGGCATTGTTGATCCCATCGTTGTGGTCCCCGTGGAAGAAGGTCAGACGGATGTCAGCCGGGCCATCCCGTGCTTCCCAAAACACCAGCGAGGAGACGTTGCTCCAGAGCTCAAAGGCAGCCCTGACAGCCAGGCGCACCTCGTGCTGCGGCAGGTACGGGGGCCAGTTCACCACGCGGTACGTCAGGTGCCTCTTGTGCCACTTGCTGCCTGCAGGATGGGCACTGCACAGGATCTGAGCCGGCTCTGATGGAGCCACCACCAGATGGCTGCCCCAGGTACCAGGTCAGACCTTGCCTGGGACAGCAGCTGGGGCACCCAGTTGATGCTCTCCTTGCCTTGTTGCTCCTCCTGAGGCCAAATCCAGACCTCAACTTATTGGATCAGTGCCCACTCCAAGGTCTTGGCTTCCAGGGAGTGAAAGCAAAGGCACGAAGGGGAAAATAATTAGGGAGGATGCTCACATCTGGCCGGGGGCGAACAGGAGTGGGAAAGAAGCCATGGGGCTGCACTGGGAATATGTGAGTGCTGGAGCCAGTGCTGAGGAGTGGGAACAGTGATGGAGCTGCAGCAGCTGCCCTGCTCCAGATGTGTGGGAAAGGGGAAGGATGGGGTTACACAGTGCTCTGCAATACACAATAACTTCTTGCAGCAAATCAAGATGGTGCCGATATCCCCCTCTGTAGCCCAGGACAGCTGGGTGAGGTCTGGGGCAGGCTCAGTGCCCAGCTGCTCTGAGGCAGGGCAATAGGGCTAACCGTACACTGGTGCTGGTTTGGGTACATATAATGACCACCACCTCCTATGCACCTGTCTCACGAAGTTGGGACAGAAAAACAAAGCCTGGGGAGAAATGCCTCTTTGCCATAATTTTTGGCTGTCCCACCCAGATGTGACCCATGGGGCACACAGAGTCCCTTGCTGCTCCTCGGTGCCTTGATGGGCACAGCTCTGAGATGACACTCAGCGTCCCACCTGACCCTGCACGCAGAGCACTCCTGCAGCAGGACATACGGCATCCCAGGGACCAGGACTGACAGCTCCAGTGGATATTAAAGCCCAGCAAGGTGCCCAGAACAAAGCCCAGCTGGGGACATCCTGCTGTGCACATCCCAGTGCTGCAGCTGGGGCCGGTGACCTGGCTGAGGCATCCTGCAGTGGTTGGCAGCATGCTGGTTGACAAAAGCCTTTGCTGGCTCAGCTGTGGCTTCCTGCTCCAAGGCAGATAAACAGCCAGCTTAGCACAAAGCCATGCGCCTTCCTGCCCGGCGCCGGACACCCCGTCCCCCCCTTTGTCCCGTCAGCACTGCTCCAGGCCCCAGCCTGCTGCCATTCCTGCAGCAGTGAGCTGAGCAGCTGAATGCCTTTTGCTACCTCCGTGAAGGAACTTTTGGGGGCCACAAGCCGAGGACGGAAAGCACAGAACTGAGCTGCATCCCATCCCATCTCTTGGCTTCATCCAGCCCTGCTATGAGCAAAGGAGCTGACAAGGCACAGAGCCCTGCCTTAGTCTCACCCTCATTTTCCCCATATCCCATACGCACGGCTGCTCCCAGCCCTCCTGCTCTCTAGGAACCACGCTATCCATCCACCAGCCCAGCACCCCCAGCCCAGACCCCAGTGCTCACCGTGCTGCATGGAGCGCCTGCGGCGCGGGGCCGTGGGGCGGCTCTCCCCATCGCCCGTCCCGCAGCGAGGACGGCCCATCTGCCGAAGCGTGGGGACGTCCAGCACCCCGCTGGGAGGGAGGTGGCTCACACGCTGGAAATCCCTACAAAGGAAGGGAGATGTCAAAACCCTGCGTTTCCCGATAGCGATGCCTGGAGCCCAGCCAGGGCTTCCACTCTGTGCCAGTTCTGTGCCCCACTGGCAGGAGTGCATCTGAGAGATAATGCCAGATCCCAAACACTCTGAGATCTCCAAACCTCAGCCTCGCTGCCGGCATTGTAATGGGGACAGCAGGCCATAAAAGGCAAATAACACTGCGCCAACAAGTCGTGTCTCTCTGCAGCTCATGCTTCAGTATCTGGCAGTGAGAGAGCCCTGAGCTGCAAAACACATTGCTCGGGGCACACAGCTCCCACACAGCCTGGGGAGATGCATTGCTGCTGGTTTTAAAACAAAGGTTCCTACCTCAGTGCTGCTGTGAACTCCACAGGGCTGAGCTGGCCTGGCTGTGGTGCTCCCAGGTAGCCATATTTCTGCAGGAACAGCTGTGGGGACAGAAACGGGACAGGGGACAGACATGGGGTGGGTTCAGGGTGTGTTCACTTGTATAGGGATAAAGATGTGGTGGGAGAGAGCATAGCAAACCCAGAAATTCCTGTCTATTGCTTCACTACACCATGATGATTCCCATGATATGAGTCCATGCACTTGGACAGCTTCACATGCCTTTTGCTCATTTTTTACAGACCTTGGATATTTGGCCACGGCCCCACGGAGGCAGACTGCACGATGCCATCCACACCAGGGGCTACCAGACCCACGCACCCATCTCCAACCACCAGCAACTCGATGCAATATTTGCAACAATGGCCACAATGCAGACTTCAGCAAGGCCAGGCTGGGCAGGGCCAGTCCCAAGGCTGCTGGCCATCCCCATCCCACCTCATCCCCATTTCATCACTATCCCATCCCCATTCCACCAATAACCCATCCCCATCAACGTTTCATTCCTAATCCCATCCCATCCCATCTCATCATCATCCCATCCCATCCCCAACTCCATCCCATCCCCATCAACACCCCCATCGCTGTCCCAACCCCAACCCATCCCCATCCCCAAGCAGGATGTGCAGCTGAGCAGGGACACACATGGGGCAGTCGGCTCTGCCAAGCCATTCTTCTCCTTATCATCCATTGTAAAGGATGGAAATCGCCAGGCTGAACTTGCTCCAGCACATAAACTGCTTTTCAAAGAAAACAAGCATTTCCCCGTGCCCCGGCTGCCCCCAGCTTTCTGAGAGGTTTAGCAGTGATTTTTCCAGGAATGTTCCACACCCGTCTCCCCCATCCCACAGGGACGGCAGAGCCGCCTCCCCGCATCCTGTTAGTGAGAAGGCCCTGCATTAAGGGGATGGGGAATTAAAAGGGAAAGTGACTGCTTGGCCACGCACATCCCTGCACGTGGGGATGTGGAATGCATTGTGAGAACCCCGAGCAGAATGTTTTGGGACTCAAATGCCCTGCACTGCCCATGCCTTTCCTACCTCAACTTTTCACAGTCATTAAGATTAGAAAGGACCTCAAAGATCTCCAAGTCCAAGCCATCCCACTATGCCCACTGCCCATATCCCTCAGTGCCACATCCCCATGGTCCTGGAACACCTCCAGGGACAGTGATCCCACCAGCTCTCTGTGCAGATGTGCCACTGCATCACCACACTAAAAATGACAACTGGAAGCTGGTTCCTGTCCCCTAATCCCATTCTTGAAGCATGAAAATGATTTTTCTCCACCATGAGCTCATGAATACTTGAAAACCCATCTGGGTAAGGCTGAGTGCGTGGCGATAAGAGAACAGCCCACAGCAGCTGTTCCTAAGCATCACCAAAATGTTCACCATCAAAATGTTCCCATGTTGCTCATTATTGTCACTCTCTAGATTGCCTCTGGCTGTGACATTCGGACAGTTTGGGGACCATTCGATGCCCAGGACCTGCAGCATTCAGCCCCTCCTGCCCCCAACAGGGAATGGCTCTTTTCCATACAATGGGAAAAGAAAAACAGCAGGAAGCCAAGAGCCATGAAATATGCCCAGCTCCCCCTCTGCACCAGGAGGGAAACAAGGAGAGGAAGGTCTGACTGCCTGGATCACTGTGGGGCTGCAGGGGGTGGAGGAGCCCTCCCATACAGCCCTGGAAATCAGCTGAGAGCCACAGGCAAGGAAACACCTTGCCTTGACTGCAGGCATCCCGGGTGGCAGGCAGCCAGCGGCACGCAGCCTGGCCTCCCTCCTTGGGACTGGGACAACAACAGCCCCCAGACAGCCCCCCCCCCCACCAGATGCTCCATTCCTGGCCCCTTTCCATCACTGAAGTACCAAGAACACTCAGACGAGCAACTTCCCCTGCCTGCAGGGCTGCTTGCAATGACTGTGGTCCCCCTGGGCACAGTGCAGCCAACAGCATCCCATGAGCCAGCATGGGCTGAGCATCCCCAGCTCCATTCCACATCACTTTGGCACCAGCTGGAGCTGGGGCAGCTTCCCTGTTTGGTTCCCTGTAGATACAGTGAGAGCTGGAGCCAGCAAACACCACGGAGTTCTGGCGCCGTTGGGTGTCGGCACCTTGGGGTTATGGCACAAGCATGCACAGATCACTGCCTGCCAGGATGGTGGGGATATTACAGGCTCTGAAGCCTCCACCTCCCTCTGCTCTCCTAAACGCATTCCTGTCTGCATTTGCAGCCCCTGAGGCACAATCCTCACGTCTCTTTGTTTGAGTGTGTGTGTGTAAATGTATATATAAAGTTACATACACATTCACAGAAATATACAAGAGGGGAGATAGATCCAGAGCTGGGCTGTCCTCCCAGTGGAAGGGTGGGGGCTGATCTCATGGGTTAGCACGGGCCTGATGGATTTGGGGATACCATCCTTGCCATCAGCAGGATGCGAGCAGGAACATCACACATAGAATCACAGAATGGTTGGAGTTGGAAGAGACCCCCAGAGGGCATCTGCTCCCACTGCCTGCAGAACACTGGGACACCCACAGCTCCATCAGTGCTCACAGCCCTCCAGCCTGACCCTGGGGGTATGCAGGGATGGAGCTGTGAGCAGTCTGTGCAGTGCCTCACTGCCTGTATTGGAAACAACTTCTTCCTTATACTCAGCCTAAATCCCCCTTTAAACCTGCTGGGCTGCATGCTGCCGAGCGCCCGCAGATAACGAGATGATGAACATAAATGTATTTCCAATTAAACACCCCAACTTCAGCTGCAATTGTAATGAAAACGAGCGCAATGAAAACACAACCCGAGTGGACATTTTCACCTCTAGGCTTCTGCAGCCCTTTGTTGCTAATTTTGACCACACTAAAAGCAATAATAATGTAAAAAACCCACCAACTTTGTGACATCAGATGCAACGTCTGATGACAATTTCAGCTCCCAAAAGGGACAGCAAGCCGACGTCCCGCTTAGAGAAAAGCCAAACCCCGCCACGTCCCAACACCCCAACCCCTCCACGCTCGCTCATCCCCGCTCCCCGCCCGCCCCATTCATTCCCCGCACCGCTCTCCTACCTCCGCCCGCCGCCGCTCGCCCCGCACCGCCGCGCCCCGCACGGCCGCCAACAGCAGCAGCAGCCCGAGCGCCGCCCGCAGCCCCATGGCCGCACCGCACCGCACCGCACCGCACCGCTCCGCGCTCCGCCGCTCCTCCCGCTGCCCCGCCCGGGGACTGAGCTCCGCCCGCGTGTGCCGAGCGTGCCCGGGGCTGCGGGGCGCAGAGGTGGGCGCAGGGTTGGCTGCCCCTCCGCCCCCAGATCGCGCACTGGGAGCCGCGTTTTCCTCCGGCTGTCCCCGACCGCTGTGCTTCTTCCAATGGATTCGGCCCTTCTGCGTGCTCCCCGCGCTATTTTGTTCTCATTTAAGCAAAGCGAAAGGATGTTTGGTTCGGAAAAATAATAGGATGTGACTTAGGGCTGCTTTGTTTCCGTGCCAGCTCCGACCACACGCCTCTTGTAAAGCCCACAACTCTTCTTTCTGTCCAGCCCACAAAGCTCCAGGAGCAGTGGTACCCGCAGGGCCCTGGGCAACTTGGGGCAGCACAGGAGGGGCGGAGGGGGTCCAAAACAAAGGAATTCGTGCAACGCAGGATGATAAAGAATGGGGAGAGGCTGTCAATGGGATGGAAGAGGAGGGGGCTGAGTGATGGGGAGAGGGGCACAAACAGCAGGCGCAGGTCGGAGCTGCGCTTCCTTTCCAAACAAGAGCAGCACTGTCTGCAAACGCAGCCGTGTTTGGCTCGTCTCGAGGAAGCAACCGGTCCATCTGCTGTTCCCCTTAAGAATAGGGGTGAGGAGGAAGCCTGGCTCGGGCCCAGCAGCAGCAGGAAGTGCCGTGGCTGCTTGTAGTGCAGGGAAGGGCTGGGGGCACCTGGTGCTGCTGCATCAGTCCTCGCTCACGATGGCTGGTGGCACAGGGTGGGAAAAACTGGGGATTGGGGCCCAGCACACAGCACAGGGATGATGCCTGCTGTCAGTCCTCTCCCCACCCCTCGCTGGGTATCAGCAAGGCAGCAGCACTCACCTGGTCGTGGTGGGGAGCAGCGGATGTGGTTGGCACAGCACCAAGGCTGCGAAACTCAGCTGCAGTGCTGAGCCCCATGAATCACTGCCCATGAACCAGTTATGAAACAGTGCTGGAAGGCACCCATACAGCTGAGCAGCAACAGTGTTTACCGTAACTGATAAGTGAATAGCAACAGCGTTGCTCCTCTCCAACCGACACCGTGCACAAAAGCTGTAGGTGAAATTCCATCTGCCTCCCCTGCACCACAGCTCTTCTCCAAAGCCTCCTCTCTGGGACCGGTGCACCACCCAAGTTCCAGCAGATGTCACATTAGACGACAGACGTGGAAGGACGGCTCGCTCTTCCCAGCCCTTTTGCCAAAGCAATTTCCCCAGCAACACCATCTGCTAGGGGCAGCGTCCCACGAGCTCTGTGCTACCCTGGAAATGGGAATTCTCATTTCTAGGTTACACAGAGCAGCCCCGGCCCGAAACCCCGAGCTTATTTTGCTCTCCCTGATACAGCTTAGCTCCTTTTGTTGTTTTTCAGCCCTGTAACGACTGTATGCCTCTTCTGCATCGGCATCTTCCCACTAGGCTTTGCTCCATAAAGTCATTGTTGAGCTTGGCAAGGGTGAGATGTGTTTTTATAAATAAACTGCCAGCATTCCATACAGGACTGATTTCCAAAACTAAAACCTCACAGCATAAAAAAAATATACTGCAAGCTAGATCATAGACAGAGATGGAGGCAGCACGGAGCTGCTCCCAGCCCAACTGCTCCCTCAATGGGAATCACCTCTCACGTTTCTCCCAGCACCTTCTGGGGAGAAATTCATTGTAGCATTTGTGAGATGTGCCCTTCATTTTCAATCTGGCTGCTGGCATGCCAAAAAAGCAAGAGGGAGCTTGTTTACCTTACACTTACCCTGCTGAACTTTAGGTAGTTGATGAGAAAATCCGCAGTGCTGCAGGATTTAGCCAACAGCTGGCGGCAATGACACGGTTAAACCATCATCTGGGTTTATATCTTTACAGACCATGTCTTCCCAGGGCTCCCACATTAATTTCACTCTCTACACCAACTGAAAACCACAAGTGCCAGGAAACCAGCACCGCCCCTTCCCTGTCTGACTTGCAAGACAAAACAGCTGCTGGCAAAGATGTTTTCACGGTCTTAAAAAGCATGTAAGAACACAGGTTGTCTTGCCCCAGCACAGAACCCATCACAAACAAAGCAAACATTCAGCTTCAGTGCCAGGCTGGGAAGGTGGTGAGAGCTCCAGCAGTTTCTTACTTGAATGCTGATCTGCTGAGTAATCCAGCTGGTAATGACTGTGCTCTTAGCCTGGGGGAAAAAGCAAGTTTGGAGCTTTAGAAAGTCTTAAATAGAGCTAGAGCTGTTGAGAACTGCTGCCCCCAGTGTTAGAAGTGGCAGCTTTCCAACCACCATCACTTACCCCCAGAGGAATGTGGGCCCATGCCATTCCTGCTGCAGGACAGTTACATTTATAGACTGTACCCCAAGCTAGGGAGCTGGGTCACAACATTAACAAAACCTATTTTTGTTCAGTTCTTAGTAAGCTCTGACCAAGATGGCTGGGAGGCCACTGAGATTGCACAGCTGTGTGCCCCATTATATGGATTACAGATACAGACCCTACAAATGTGCAGAGTGCAGAGTGAGAATCCTCTCTTCAAACCCTGGCTTTAATGCTGAATTCCAAACGTTTACAATGTGCCCACCTGGACGTCATCCACATCCCTTCTCAGAGATTACACTGCAGCATGTAACACTTGTTTGCTATCATCCACATTTCAAAAACAGCAACTGAAATGTAGAGTGATCCATAGCAAGTTACCTTTTTTGTTTGTTTTTTGAAGCTGTTCCACCTTGTTTTTGGAGCTGTTGCTTGGACGTGACGAGCTCCTGCTGGAGGCACGAGAGCACACTGCCATCTGCCTGCTCCTCGGGAAAGCTGCAGGGCACACACAGCAGGCATCACAGCTCGAGCAGAGCAGGACTTCAGTCTCAGGGCAAAATGGGAACGGAGCAGGGGACAGGTCTGTAAATCTGGGACAAAGGGTGTAAAGCAAACAAGCGTGCGACTGACTTAACTGCAGGTTTTCAAGCGAAAGCAGCACTTCGTTAATGACACTTCATTAAAAACAAGATCCTAATTAGGTCCCACCACTGGAAGACAGGGGGTGTGTGAAGAAGGACATACAACTGAAGGCACTGGGAAACGTAAGATCTCACAAATAAAACAATCAGCATTTATTGTTGTATTACAAAACACTTTGTATTTTGGCAATATTTTACAGTTTATCCTTTTCCTTCTTAGGGCCTGTTGAAGAGGTATGGAAGGGAAGAAAAGAGGAGAAAGTTGAAATTAGGATTAAATTTCCATGTCTCGCATAAAAAAAATCCTCCCAAACTGCCCCAGTCCCTCCCACCAAAATAAAAATCTAGTTTCACTCAGTTCAACTATCTGAAGAGGCCATGGGTGAAGCGGCAGGCAAAACTCTGGCAATTTCACTATCCAACGGGTCAAGAAGACAAACAAAACATTCACAGTGGTCTTCAGTATGGTCTGTTACGTTGATCGTTTCTGAAATCGTTCCTGAAAGGGAAAGAAAAAGTCACCAGGAATCTCTGAAGCACATAAAGACAGTCCTCTCAGTCAAGCATCTCTACAGCTACTTCTGTGTCGTCTTCTGCTTATGGACACCTTTAACCAACAGTGCTCCCAAACACACCCAGTAGGCAAACTGACTTAAGAGCTTCAGAAGCTCTTATCTCCAGTCGGCGTTGCACAACTAAGCAGGGGTAAAGAGACTGCTTACCTTCCTCCCATTTTACCCCCATAGCCTCCTCCTCGATCGCCACCTCTGCCACCACGCCCTCGATACCCCCTTTCTCCTCCATATCCACCTCTGCCACGGAAATCTGGAGGAAGATGCACAGCGACACATCCTTCAGGTTGTTCACAAAGCTGAGGACGTCATTCACAGCTTTTACGCCTCAGAGGAGACGCAGCAGCTTGCGGGGATCTTTTTACACACCTCCTCCTGATGGACGTGAATCCTCTGGTCTGGGCTCACCACATTGGTTGCAGGAGTTCCTGCGAGCGAAGTTCATGTTACCACAGGACCTGGGAAGGACAAGGATTTCCCAGACTTAGCTGCTAAGAAACTCAGAGGGCTCACGTGAAACACCACTGCCCGATCAAAATGACACTTACGGGTTAGGACAAACCCAATCACCATTTTTGGGTTCCCCACTTCTACCCTGGAAGCCCCCACCTCTTCCATATCCACCTCGTGAACCTGTAGACAAAATTATAATCAGAATAAAGGAGGAATAGTGTTTAAGATTGATACATGAGAAGCATTTATTAAGGACTGCCACTGGCTTCAAAAATTAAGGGACAGACAGACCTTCCACGTGGAAGAAAGAGTAGGTAGGCAATCTCTGTACTGATATTAATCACTACGAAAGGGACAGTAGGAACTGTGAAGGAAGAGCAGGAGGCAAACAACTGCCCCCTCTAACATTCAGCCTTCAAGAATTACTTTTCTGATGCTGCATTTACTACCAGATACAAGATAACTGAAGATTTGGGCAAAATGGCAACAGAAACTTCAGCCACTACCAAATCTCAGCAGAGGTTAATGTATGTGCAGAGCTGAAGTACAAATGCTTACATGGACAGATTTAGAACTTAGGGGAGATGGACAAAAAAGCAAGAGCAGTGTGTGGTGGCTAGAAGAATTTGCCCCAACACATATTTATTATACATTCTCTTTCAGCAATAAAAGGAAACCTGATCACCTTGAGTGGCCAATGGTTATTATATAAACCACTGTGTGCATTAATGAATTTCCATAAAAATGTAACAGTGTATGATTGTATCACCTATAGGGCCTGACTCAGTCACAGAACAAAGTCCCTGTGTGGATTAATGCCAGGATCCATCTGACACAGCCACAGGGACAACACAGCCACAGGGACAACACAGCCACAGGGACAACACAGCTCGTGCTGCATCAAAAAGACCAAGAACTTTTTTCCCAACTGAGAATTTTTCATCAGGTTCAAAATTTAAGAATGCAAATTTGTTGGCAGCCACTAAACAAAAGATGCTTCTAGTCAAATGGCAATTTATGTCCAGTAGGCTACTGACAAAACTGTGTTATACAGAGAGCCAGGGAAATTAACATCTGTTTAATTAAAGCAGTTGGGCATCCAACTGCTTCTCTAAGTCAGCAGCAGATGAATAACTTCCCTTGCTTAATACTATCTGGAAACACCAGAGTATCTGAAGACTTTGCAGTTAAAAGCCACATCTGTCTGTGTGGAACCTGCAGATCCTCAAAGTCATCATCACTTCTTTGTAAGGAATAGTGAGACACAATGGAGATTTTCCAGTTGAAAAGGAAAGCACAAGTTCTGTGCAGTGCATAAAAAGCTTACAGGTCTCAGTTTTACTTAAGTTGGTTCAACGCTTCTTACTTACTGCCAGAATCCCAAAGGCTCAAACGCTTTGAGAAATCACTGCTACAAAGTCAATTCTCTTCATAAATACTGGCAGTAAAAAGCATCTCACTACACAAAACAAAGGATTTTACAGAGTCCCACCTCGACGTCCACCACCTCCACCTCCTCTCATGAATTCAGGTCTTCTAGTTGCAAAAGAAACTTTGATAACATTGCCATTGAATTCTTTTCCTGTGTTAAAACAGAGAGAAAAATTAATAGAGCTCCCAACAACACAGCAGCAAGTTCAAGAGAACAGAAGTGATGTGCAAATGCAGGCTGACTAAAAAGCCTTTAAGAAGCAGGCAGCATGGAGTGAATGCCTTAGTTCAGAATGCTCTGTTCAAATTGTGAGATGACAAACTCTTTCTTAATAATTTTTATGTAAACCAAAAGATAAGGCTTTTGTACAATGCAAGAGCCAGTGCAAAAATGAAACACTGCCAAGTAAGGGAAGACATAACATTTTAAATACAAGATCTCTGTTCTTCATGGATGCAAGGTTTACCAGATAGCAAGCAGGGCTATATGGGCACCTAATATAGTTATATTTGCTTTACCCTCCGAAACAAAAGTAAAATCTTATTTTATCAGCAAAACAGTGTGCCATGACAGACCTCCACATACTACAATTCAAGTCCAGAAACTGAACTTTAAATCAGCGTATTGCTGGGATCTGCTCTTTTCCACTGTTGAGCCCATGATTTAAAAACAATATGCACTGTAATTCTCCACAACATACGTGCAAAGCAGTTGGCACAACGTTGCCATCGCCCTTGCCAAAACCTGAATGTGCCACCCACAACACTAAGAACAAAAGAAGAGGTGATCAATCTCACGCACCATCAAACCAGTCAATGGCTGCTTTGGCAGAAGGAGGGTCATCAAAAGATACCGTTGCTTCTCCTTTTGGTTTGCCAGTATCCTTATCTGTGTACAGATTTATCATAGGCTTGCCAGTCTTTTTGTTGGTCTGGAAAGAGAGGTTGTATACTTAGCAAAGGACAAATACTGGTAGAGTCAGAGCATAAGCTGTAGCAGAGAAGTGTCAGTAAAAAAACTGACAGCTCTTGGAGCTAGCTTGCAGAAAGGTGCTTGTGATGGAAAGACACTTAATGGCTGCTCTCCAGGAAGTGATGAGGGGCCTGGTTCTCACAAACACTGATGTTAAGAGCAGGAGGCCCTAATTCAGAACTGCAGAAGCAGAAGTAACAGCCATAGGAACACAGAAGCATACTTGCTGAAACATCAAGATGGTATAACAGATATGGAGTTAGTGACAAGAGTTTAAAAAACTGAAAGACACAGAGCAACCTGAATGGCACCACCAAGCTGGCTGATTTTCAAATAAGCTGTCACTACCCAGACAGAACTATTATCTCTAACTTCTGGGGAGCCACAGCAAGCAGCTGCCTCAGACAACATCCATCACACCTCCAATACACCAACTGCACGTCCTCTTCCTCCCTACTAGAGATTTCTCACTTCACATACCTTTATAATGCCTATTTGTTTGAAGTAGTCTGCCACTTGATCTGTTGAAACATCCTCTCCAAGTCCTTGCACAAAGATGGTGTTGTTGTCAGAGTTGTCAGACTCTGAATCTATTAAAAATAAGCTACAGTTACCACGCATCTTCATGGTAGCAACAAAAGAAATATGTGAAGCTGAAGTCCACTCTTCCCAGCAGCAGACACTTATAGCCCAAGGATAACTTGTGTGAGACAAAAGATGAGAGCACGATACTGAGGTTAATGCTGCCAACTTCAGCAGTGCAGGCCCAGCTGTTTGCCATGCAGCCAGACATCACACCCTCCCAAGAAATGCATGTTTTAAATAATACAAATTCACAGCAGCAAGAGCAGTCGCTCGGCTCAACCTGATTCACGCCTCATCTGCAAGTTCTTACTTGAGGCAACAAAAATCCACCCCAAAATTCACATGCTCTAAAGGAGAAGACATTTCCCTCAATGAAGACAAGCTGCAGCTAAGTCACCTTTGAGCCATGGGAACTGCAGCCACATCCATGTTTGCAGACATACTTTTTAAAAGCAATGACCTATGAGCAACAATCCACTCCCACCCACTGCTTGTTTTCTTACCAGCATCTGATCTCTGCCCATAATCTCTCTGACCTACGAAAGAGGTTCAAAAAAAGAAGAAAAAAAAAATAAAAAAAGAGAAAGACTATTTTTAGCAAAACATTTTCAAGCAACTTCTTTTTTTCTTTTTTTTTCTTTTTTTTTTTTTTAGAGACAAGAAAATATTTAAAGCATGTATGCAATGCATCTAAGATCTAAAGCATCAACCAGAGGTTTAGAGGCCTTTAGATTAAAACGTTCAACAGAAGGATTGGATGTTACTGTGCTCTTTAACTTGCAGTGTGTGGCAGTTGCCACACTGATGCTATGCTGGTGTTAGCTTGCAAATGCTGGTTGTCAGATCACCAAGCACTTTACTGAGCTGTTGGTTTTTTCCCTTCTGGTACCTTTCTAGAAGTATTTGTAAGCAACAAAAATAATTTTTAAAAAATAATATAGAAAAATAAAAATCTAGTGAACATCACTGTCTCCACAAATTCTTTCATGCAATTTGACAAAGCAGAAATCTAGCTTACTGCTAAATGGTTGGCTATT